GCTACAGAGCTACGGCTAAAGTTCCCACAACGCTACAGAGCTACGGCTAAAGTTCCCACAACGCTACAGAGCTACGGCTAAAGTTCCCACAACGCTACAGAGCTACGGCTAAAGTTCCCACAACGCTACAGAGCTACGGCTAAAGTTCCCACAACGCTACAGAGCTACGGCTAAAGTTTCCACAACGCTACAGAGCTACGCTAATGTTTCCACGGCAGTGTCTCTGTACAGAACAAGGCGAGTCTCCAGCCAACAAATAAAGCCACTTCCTGTCAGAGTTCACCTTGGTTCAGCTCAGACCTTTTGTCTATTAGACCAGTGGTTCCCAAAGTGAAGGTCTGGACCCATGAGGGGGTCATGAGGCACCAAGTGGGGTTGGAGAATGAAGACTTACGTGGATGAAGGGCTGGGGGAGGACGCGGGGCTCTGAGGCTGCAGCTGGGGTAGCTTACTCTCTCCTCCCCCTCTCCCTGACTCTCCCGGTTCGGAGGACGGCGGGGAGGCGGCAGGTCCTGAGGAGGACGGTGGCAGTTTGGGGGAGATGATCCGATGCTTGGTGCTGTTGCAGCGGTGGGGAATGTTCACTCCTGGTGACACTGTGGACATGAGGAGATAGGTGGCGGTCAGGGAGACGTTAGGTTGATATCACAGTAACATCATGGTTATATCAGGGTGACATCAGAGTGACGTCAGAGTGATGTCACGGTGACGTCATGGAAGCCCCCTACCTTGGTTTGTGCTGCAGAGGCAGGCGTGTGTGCGGGGCTGTGGTTTGGTTCTCTGCCGGTCCAGGATGTGCTGCACCAGCTCCTCGATGCTGAAGTCTCCAGAACCCATGGAGCACTTGATGCTGTGGACTGAAACAAAGAGAGGCGGTGTTAACTCCAGCCAGAACCCGGGTCGGACCGGCTGCTCTGCTCGGTGCCGTACACATGGGCTTCAGCTGGCCCAGCAGGTCGTCCCGGCTCCACCTCAGGGTGTCGTGGCGCTCAGACACCGTGCACAGCAAAGGACTGCATCTCCCAGAATCCTCTGGTGACGGCACGTTCAGGTAGTGGACCAGCACGATGTCTGGGTTCTGCCGGGGAAACACAGGAGGTCACAGCTCTGATGATGAGAGATCTGTGTTTCAGCAGGATGCCTGGTTCTGTTCCAGTCCACAGTGTCAGGTTACATCTAACAGTATTACTATCAAGAAATGGTACATTGGACCGAAGGGTCGGCCCTCCCAGGAGGTCGGCCCCCCCAGGAGGTCGGCCCCCCAGGAGGTCGGCCCTACCAGGAGGTCGGCCCTACCAGGAGGTCGGCCCTACCAGGAGGTCGGCCCTACCAGGAGGTCGGCCCCCCTAGGAGGTCGGCCCCCCCAGGAGTTCGGCCCCCTCTGGGTTTGACCCTGAGGCGGTGTGAGCCGGTCCTGTGTGAGGTTCTGACCTGCAGCAGCCAGTAGCATCGTCTGTGGAATGTTGGCACGATGGAGGAATGGACGTAGCAGCCGTAGAGGCACTGGAACAGCAGAGAAACACTGGTAGATCTCCACCACCCTGTCTGAACCCTTCTGTTCCTGTGTGTGACTCAACATGACCTGCAGGGGGCGCTGCCTACCTCCATGCCCTGGACCTTCAGCTTCATGTGGTCCTCTCTCGTCGTCTTCCCATCCTTCCTCTTCTTCCAGCAGTAGCCGTCCTTCCTGTACTTCACCTTCTTCCTGTTGTAGAGGATGATGCTGCCGTTCTTCGGCCTGAAACACCCAAACATGACCGGTGAGACGTGACGCCCTGAGCGCCGTCTGGCAGGCGTTTCCTCAGGGCTGTACCTGGTCTTCAGGGAGCAGCAGAGCCACTCGTCGTGTCTGTCGAAGGATATCAGGTAGGAGGCGATTTCCTGCAGACCGACAGAGAGACGGCTCTTCAAACAACCGACACAGACCTGCTGCAGGTCTGTGTCGGTTGTTGCAGGTCTGTGTTGCAGGTCTGTGTCGCCTGCTGCAGGTCTGCTGCAGGCTCTCAGTAGAAACAAATGATGAGGCGTTTTACCAAAATAACCTAAGAATAAACCTGTGATGTTAGATTTCTACTTTCATGTTTCCAACCTGCCAGAATGATGAAGTCACTGAAAGAAGCCAAAATGGATCAGAACATCGGGTCAGAACCAGCTCCCCTCACCTCGTTAGTGTTCCACCTCAGACGCTCGTTAGGCAGGCAAGCCGAGCGCGGCAGGCAGTCCAGCAGCTTGTTGGGAACAAACACCTTCCTCTGGCCTTTATTCTCTGCTGACAACACAGATGGTAACGGGTCAGAACCAAACCCGGGTCAGATCAGAACCCGGGTCAGAACCGAACCCGGGTCAGATGAGAACCTGGGTCAGATCAGCACAGGGTCACCACTGATTAACACAGGAAGTTAAAAATAAAACCCTGGAGGTATTTACCTGTAGTTATGAGAAAATTATTGTTAATAATGTGATGTTTTCATCAGTCAGCATCTATCAGGGTCAGTCAGGGTCAGACAGGGTCACCGTTTCACAGCTACAGTTATTATTGAACACTGCGTGTTGGTATGAGGTCAAAGACACCCTGAACAGAGAGCTAGATCCCTCCATCCCTCCCTCCATCCATCCATCAGCACCAACAACAGGATAGCAGGTCCAACCAGCTGCCAAGCACCATCATCTCCTCCATGTCTAGAGACCCGGTCTCC